GTGACAAGAGGTTCGCCACGGCTGGCGATCGCGCGGCACATGTGGTCAATCAACATAAGGACCGGCGCTACGCCTGCGAGTGGCCGGGCTGTCAGTTTAGGGCCGCATTCATGAGCCAAATGCGGTCCCATATTAAGCGCCATCAGAGCAAAGTTGCCGCCGAATAATGATTAATGTAATTCTCTGTTTGTATTATAATTATGCTTTAATTAACATTATTATAACTATTTTCGTTCATTATTTTTTTTGCATAAATAGTCTTATTTTAATTATCTAATTAATTAAATGATTAATTTGTAAATAAAACTAAATAAATATATTAATAGTTTTTTTTGTGGACGTAATTGATGTGCAATTGTATTGTTTTGATGTTTATTTCAAAACAAAAGTCGACTTTAATTATGAAGATTTAAATCATAATTAAAAACAACAGTTAATAAACGTATCACTAAAACAGGTGTTGTATTACTAGTTATCAATACATACAGTGAGACCCCGATTATAGGGGAACTCCTCTTAGAGACAATGTCTGTGGAAATAATAGCGGAAAACAATCGACTCATAAGAGAGTTATTGTTTGCGAAGAAATTGATTAAATGTTTGGAAAATATAATGCATTTCGCGGTAAACATGAAGACCACGTGTGGTTGCGATCACATCCGGACACTCGTCCAGAAAACAATCGACTCATAAGAGAGTTATTGTTTGCGAAGAAATTGATTAAATGTTTGGAAAATATAATGCATTTCGCGGTAAACATGAAGACCACGTGTGGTTGCGATCACATCCGGACACTCGTCCACACCAATGACCACCACTTCCAGGACTATCAACGGCTCAAACACGAGTGTACGGCCGCCGCCGCCTCCACTCCCATCCCCTCCGACAGCGGCCGAAGTATTGGCCATACAGTGGAGGACAGGCGCCGCCCGAAGACCACTCGAGTGGCAAATGTTTGCCACGAGTGTACCGGTGATGACCGCGACATCGATGGTAAGCCTAATGATATGTCTGTCAATTGGTTTTTAACACCGAGTTCTTGGTTGCGATCCATTTGTGTTAGATTTGACGGCCGCTGACCACCCGCTCGACGGACACCAAATTACCGGCATTTGTGTCGGACGGACGGCCGTGAAGTGTGTGACCAAATCAGGTGATTATTATTACTACTATATATAGCGGTCTTTTGTAATAATCACTGAATGACATGTCTTTCGCACAAATGTCAGACTTCTATAGATATCAACAGTTTCTGAAGCCATTGACGAAATCCGTGTCCACAAACACCGTTAACCAGACGCCGGTGACTGTGGCCGCGGCCGGCGGTAAGTGTGTCCACTCACTGGTCCACTCGATCTATACTAATGACTTCTCTGTGACAATCATTAGTGGCGGGCATTCAATGCAATTGTTGCGGTCACCAGACGCTGACCGCCGAAGAGATGTACGCCCATCAGCGGCACATCCATCGCGCGCAGCGTATCGACGACTGTCTGATTAACTACGAGTGCAGTGACCGCCAGTGCGGGTTCAAGTGTCCCGACCAGAGCTCGTGGTTTGACCATAAGCTACAGCACGAGCGGTGCGATCGCACTGTTGTGTTCAATAAGCGTCAAAACACTTCAACCGCCAGACCTCTGTCTGACCCGATAGTAATGGACAGACACTCGCAACCAATGGCGCCGCAGACCAACGAACTCTCATTGGCCATCTCATCGATCAGTAGCGCCAGCGATGGCACAGTTGTCGTGAATGCCGTTCCCATCAGGAGTAACGGTATGTATGGCTCAGTAGTTGTTGTAATGATAATGATTTTTATTGTGATATTTTTAATGTTCAGACCAACCGCTGATGGCGTACCCGACGGCGGCCAACGCTGGAACAGCTGAAGTGTTTTACAGGACATACGAACTGAAGAACTTTAATCCATTGAAATGCACGCACTGTTCGTACGGTATAAAGCGAGACAACGAGACCAATGGCCTAATGCGGGCCCATATGTGCGGACAGCACCCGAACCACAGCTCAGACTTTGGTATTTATTTTGTAAAATTATTGTGAAAATCAATGTCTGATCCGATGTCTGGTAATATCTATACAATACAGATAAGTCATTGGCCGCCAAAGAGGCCAACACTGCGTACGTGTTTGAGTGCATTGAATGCCAGCGTATACTCGAAGACCAGGTGGTGTTGGATCTGCACCACCAGACTGTCCACTCGGGGGTTACCGCTTACCGGCTGTGGTGCGACCTCTGCTCCTACACCACCGACTCGTACCAAGAGTTCATTCAACACAACAGCCGCCACAGGACTCGCGTCCAGAAGATTGGCCACAACACCGCCGCTCGAGAGGTGGTCAGCGAAAGCGTGGCCACAGTTGTTGTGACCGAAGCCGATGGCGACGAAGAAGTGGATGAAGACCACGATATGACAGAATCCGTGACCGCCGAAGAGGAGGAAGGGTTGGAGGCGACGGCGGAGACGGAAACAATTGGCGATCAATTGGTGATCAAATGCATGGACCGGCGGTACCACTGCTCTCAGGATGACTGTCACAAGTCGTTCAAACACGAGTACCTATTGATCAAACACACCCGCAATCACCACAAACTCATCGAATGTGACAAATGCCAGACCCGATACAAGTCCGTACAGCTGTTGAACGCCCATCTGCTGAAGTCGCACCGCGAGTATCTGATCCGCTGTCAGTCCTGCGACTACCAGACCTTCTGGCCGTCTTTCCACGACCGACACGTCACACGTCATCACATGACCCAATGGTGGTCGTGTCAGCACAAGAACTGCGCCGAACGGTTCCTGAAGCAACAGTCGCTGGAGAGGCACGTGAATAAAGCGCATAAACGCGGGTTCCGGCCGTACGAGTGTCCGGACGACGGGTGCGGCGCCGAGTACTACACTCAGGGCGAATTGATCAGACACAGGGGTCGGGCCCACAGGGCGCTGGTCTACGAGTGCGACCAATGCGAGTACCGGTGCTGCGACACGGGCTCACTCGCCGCCCACCGTAACGATCGTCATCTGCGGCACGTCTACCGGTGCTCAGCCGCCGACTGTCGCTTCGAGTCCCGTCACTCGTCGGTACTGAACGGCCACTGGAATCGTTGCCACAGTCGGCGGTACGCGTGCGGCCATAACGGCTGCGGCCGTGTGTACGCCACCCGCGCTCTGCTGACCAAACACACGGCTCGACACCCGTTTCCCAATGTGTGTGATGTCGGCCACTGTGGCCGCGATTTCATGTCATTCAAGGCGCTGGCGGTGCACAAGTGGTCCGCCCATAACGTGCCCATACGTGACCGGAAGCACGTCTGTCCGCACTGTCACCGCGTGTTTAGTACGAAGAAAGGCTACGGACATCACCTCAAGACCAAACACCAGCGCAGACCGACGGCGGCGGTGGTGGCAGTCACTCAATGATCGGTAAGTTAGTGGTCACTCTTTGACCGTAATTGTGCTGTCAATTGGTTTAATTGGTTGTGTTTTTGTCTCAATAGATGAACTGATTCTCTGGAAGAGTCGGTTCCACGAAGAGAATGAGATTTACTGGACGGACATCTATCCCGAAGACTTGCCGACCGATCGATACGATTGCGTTCTAGATTTGTAGTCATAATATAATTTTATATTCATTTCATAATGTAATGCAAATATCGAAATAATTATAATAAAGTAAATAATTGAAAAATGTGAACAAATATTGTCAAATTTAAATACAGTGTATATCAAAATTGTTGACCAATTCAGTGATTGAACATTAATTCTCGGTAAACGTATAATACAATTAACGTAACAATAAGTTACCAAACATTTCATAAATGTAATCATATGAGAGGACGGGGCCGGTGTGTCAGCCCATGCAATGCCAGTAGTATAACAAACAAACTAATAATTTTAAATGAGTTTTGCAGACATTTGCGCAACCATTTATACAGTGCGCCCCTAAGTGTGTCATCTCTGTTGAACACTTCTACGGGCCTTTCAGTGGCCAACTGTGGGTCCAATTGCCACAATCGGGCCCCCATTTGGTTGCGCTCTGACTCCAAAGTCACTGCTATTTGTGTCAATGAATGGCATTCAATCTCTTTGGCTCTTATCGTTCGCTCCAATTCACTAATCTTTCGCCGCATGTCATCGACGGTGCGGTCATCGGGTGTCGGCCGCCACCGATTGGGTGCCACCAATTGAACGCCTGTCGCACTCCAATTGCGTGCATTGACCCTATATTTGTCGACCATTGCGTTCACTTTGCGATTCTTGTCCACCAATACTCGGTCGGCGATGAGTAAAGTGTTTCCGTGGGATGTGTTCCGCCAATCCCTTGTCAACGCCTGTCCGCACTCTAGACAGGCTTTGGCCGCATTCGACCTCCGGAACCATCGATTGAGACACTCGTAGCAAAAGGTGTGCCGGCATTGAGTGTCCACAGCATTGATGACCAGATTGAGACAAATACCACACTTTAGCTCTTCGGCCAACGCCTGGTCCAAATAGCTATGGGTAGTGACAGTACTGTCATCGATGACATCGGTGTCACATCCCGTGAGCCGGCTTTGAATGGAACCCATGGCAAGCAATTGAAGCACACAATCAGTTGTGATCACCGCTTAAGAGATTGTTATCCACTTGTAGTCAATTTATAGAGTACTTTATAATACAGTGTATGTTATAATAGCTGTTATTGAAAATCAATCTACAATTTGTTTGATAGCATTGTTTTCAATGCAATTCACGCACACATATTCAACAACAATTGCAAACAAAGTAAACCTTTACTTCTGTATGAATCACGTGATTCGCACGTGGGCTTACATTTTGCATAGTTATCATCATTTGGTTATTTTATTAATTAAATACTAATTGCGTCTAAAATATGCGTTTAAAATCATTATTTATAAACTGAATATTGATAATTTTTAATTGTAAATGATTTCAAACATTAATCCCGACAAAAACTATTGTGAATTAACTTTATATAAAAATTAATAATTACTAAAGACTTCAAATCAGTGCATTAGTCACAGAAAAAAACTTACTTCATATACAAGTAATGTTTGATTCATTGCATGATTAATACTTTATTGAACACAACTTTGATATCTCTACTAAAATACTGTAATTTGTTTTTTCTGTGACTAATGCACCAAAATTTTAATGCTTTAATGTCTTTAAATATAATCAAAACTATTTAATAATTAAACAAACAATTTATTAAACCATAAGAAACATCACAAATAAATCACTCAAAATAACTCAACACATGATTGACGGCAAACAGCAATACTTTGCGTTGAGTTGCGGACAGTTTATCGGCGGATCTGTTGACCAAAAACACGGACCCCTCGCGCAACACATCCCACACACTCACCGAACAGCTGTCGTACCGCCGGAAGCAATCGTTGGTGCGATTGCGGCCAAAGGCTGCGGCCGTCCGATAGCCGGACATCACCGACGACTCGCTGTTGTCGAGATCGCGGTCGTAGGGGAACACCGACCGGAACAGAAGGCCCACCACTCTGTACTTCTCGGGCCGGCTATACATACGACACACCGACAGACGAAAACAGTGTTGCAGTTTATGGCGCGGATAGGGAGGCAACCGATCGGTCCAGTGGTCAATCGTGTTGAGCACCGACTCGAACGCCACGCGTAAGTGTTGGCCCAAGAAGTAGAACATCGACCGGCGCTCTGCCGAACGCATTTGGCGCCCGATGGCCGGCGAGTCCGACATTAGCCGCATCTGGCGGTCGAGGAATCGGTTGATGGACTCGACGTCGGGTACGGCCGACAGGAGGCCGGATGTGGCGGTCGATCGGCGCCGGTGTTCGGGAAATATCAACGGCGAGAATAGGGCGACGCCGGCCAACGCGAACAGAGCGTGAATGAAGGGATAGGCTGTCGGCCGAGAAGTAAAACAATTAATTAGTGACAATATGTGACACCGCTATCCGTGACCAATGGCCGGACAGTCAGCCAATGAACACTTACCAATATTCTGGCCGGCGTTGGCCGCCGCCACGGAACCCATATTATTCCTCTGCGGTAACGTAAGCGTGAAGAACGGTATCTGACACACGAACGACGCGTTGTACCACCGGCTCACGTATATCGAGTGCTTGTACTCGCGGTACAGGTCTTCGGCGTCGCGATCCCGATAACGGCGTCCGCCAAACGATCGGTCACTAGTGGCCAGCGGTTGGCTATGCGGTCGGCGATCGTATTGCGGTATGTATTCAAAGCCGGCCCACGCCTTACCGGGCGCTGAGTGTTGGCCACCGGCCGCCCGTCGGGTGATTAATGCCAGCCATAGTACACATGATAACTGTTTAATGGTATTTACAATATGAAAGTAACGCATGTTTTATACGGCAGTTAATTGTGATTTAAACTAAACAAAAAGTATTGCAAAAACAAGTGTTGAAAAAGTTTATAAAATGTATGACTATTTTGTTGTGTGTTTTTTTCTCAATCACTTTCCCTGCGATTGCCATTGGATTCACATTTTGGGATTTGTTTAAGAAGTCATTCACCCTTTAATCTCACCACTAATCCAACAATGGATTAGAAAAAAGACTTTACGCAAACATTTAGTGAGTTAATAGGGATTAGTGGCAAATAGGTACAGTGCATTTCTGTGTTGTAAACATCAAATTAATTTCATATAAAACAGTAAATAACATTAAACTAAAAATAAATTTACAAAATAATAAACACAACACTAAATCACAACAATTTATGAACGCGTCTCTTATGAGTGACCAAAGCGTTTCTGTGAAGTGTCTTAAACTGACAACCGGTGACATCGCACGGGAGTGGCGTCCCGTTGTGGACAACCATATGCTTATTGGCAGTGCTTCTGTCCTTGAATGTCATGTCACAACCGGGCCATTCGCACGCGTGGGGCCGATCGGTCTCGTGGATGCTCTGATGGGAGGCCAAACTGTACCGACTCGTGCACCTATACTCACAGCCCGGCCACAGACACGCGTGCGGTTTGTCGCCGGTGTGGTTGAGGCGGTGGCGCACAAAATTATTGTTATAATTGGTGCCGTAGTCACAGCCGGGCCACGAGCACTGGAACCGCTGTTGTCCGCTGGCGGCCATCGCGTGATCTTTCCGATGACTTGTCAGCGACGATAGTTTCGGGTATTGGCGGCCACAGCCCGGCTCCGGGCAGTTATACATCCCGTCGTTCGTATGGCTCCGCCTGTGAAGCGCTAACCGGTCTTCGGTGAAGAACTTCTTGGCGCAGCCCTCGTAATCGCACCGATATAACAGACGGATTCCGTGCTTTTGTTTCCGGTGCTGATTGAACCAACACTTGCCGTAAAACCTGCGACCGCAGCCCTCGGCGTCGCACCGGTAGGGTTTGACCCCCCGGTGCGCCCGATTCATGTGCCCAATCATATCCG